TAAGTATAATTTTAGCTGATTTTAATGTATATCAATCAATTAGGCTGAATTTTAATTTATCTAATTTTAATTTTTTTGATTTTAACTAATATTAAAAAAAAAGAAATAAAAAGAAAATATTCTTATATTTATATTTATATAAAGATATTTATATTAAAATATAAAGAATTTTATATTAAAAGTAAATTAAAATAACTAATAAATAAGTAGAAATCAAAAAATTAAACATAATATATAACAGATATTAAAAATGAGATTTCTTAATTAAAAACAACTAGTACTTGAGAATTATTAGAAAAAACAAATGATATATCTTATGAGAATATTAAAAATAGTTATGATTGCTAAGCTTTTAAGAAATATCAGAATAAATATAAGTCTCACATATATCTAGCCTATTTTCATAAGCTAAACTAGTAAACAGTATATAAATATAAGTGATAAACAAGTCACTATGCATATAGAGTTAATATATTTTTTCTGATGTAATAAAATTCAATTAAAAAATATTACTAAAAAGGATAAGCAATTAGAATAGTCATTTTTCACAGATTATTAATAAAAGTACTAAGCATAATACTAAAGTTAATAAGTTAAAATAGAAGAATACAAAGCTTGAGATTAGAATTGAGGAGTTGAAAAAATGAAAAAAGCAAAGCATATACTGCTACTGAAAATGCTAGGTATAATGCTAATATTATGAGCTTAAAGCTGAGTTAACAAAATTGATATTAATGAACTTAAAAAAGAATTAGAATCTAAGAAAAATTGCAAATTTTAGACTAGATACATTTAGATAATTAAGGAAATTCTTAATAAGAAATCTATGATTAAATATCATTTTATTTTTTTGAATGGATTAGAGTTTGATGTTTTCTTTCAAAAATATTGAATTGCATTGAAAGTGTAAGGGGTTTAGCATTAGCTTTATAGCTGATATAAAGATGTCAAAAAACTTGAGGATATTGTTAATTGTGATTAGTAAAAAGATGTATTTGTCTGGATAATAAAAATTTTCTTCTCAAAGAATAGTATAATTAAAACTCAGAAATTGTTATTTCAGAATGAATATAAAAAATAAAGTGGTATGTTGATCAAGTATTCAAAAGCTTTGAACTCTTATAATTAATAACCTTATAATATATGTAACTCTAATTTAAATCGTAGATAAATTTTCATATGATTATAGATAAATGCAAATAATTCGATAATTTTAGTATTCTCTCTCTCAAGAAGGTTGTTGTCATACCTGACTAGGAATGCTAATGATCACAATCATGACCGGTCACAACCAAACATAACCATGATCAATATCGATTGGTCAAAAAGCTTCTGACTGACTGGTTGACTGATTGATTCTGATCAATTTTGACTGACCAGTTGACAGGTTGATCTAAGACTAAACAACCATGTTTTAAATAGTAAAAACACTTTGTATCAAAATATAACATCAACTTAAAATTTTAAAATTTTGAAAATTAATTAAAGTTCATAAAAATGTTGCATTACTAAATAAAATGATAAAATAGTTTTAAAAAATATTATGCTAGAATTGTTAAAGCAAGAATCAAAATTATAATATTTGGCTAAATTAAAACTTTCTATTAAGCCAAAACTGCTCAATTATATTATTATTAACTAGTTAGTTAAAATTGTTAGTTAGTTGATTAAAAGCTTTTGATTAACCGTTACCATCTTCTCAGATCAAGCATAATCTGATTATAAAACAAATGATGCAGTATTATAATTTTAACTACTTCTACAGTATCATAATTTTAATCATGATTTCACAAGTATGTGAACTTTTTTATTATTAAGTTCAATAAGAAAGCCTTATATAAATTCTTGAGGTATATTAAACATTGTATCATAGTATGAAAAAGGTACAAACGTTAGTTTATAAAGTTTGTGAAGCATTAGTTTTTTAGCCTAAGAATTACTGCTAATGTCAGGATATTGTATAGTTTAAAGATGTAAAAAAAGTAGATCACAATAAACTTTTCTGAATTGTATATTTAAAGTTCAAATATTTTACTCGATAAAATAAGTAGAAAAATCTTTATTAAATATTTAGCAATTACAATGTAAAATAGCAGATTATTTATATTATTTTTATTTATATATAGAATTAAGATAAATGTATTTTGATCTTCTAATCTTTAAGCAATATATCTTTATTAGTTTATATTACAAAGTCATTTTTGATTCTATTATCTTTTTTTTTTCTTTTTTGAGCGATTGTTTTTTGTGCCTTTAATAGAACTTGTTTTTCTTGCTTTTAAAGAATCTAAAAAGAAGAAAGTTAATGAAAAAAATTATATTTTTACTTTTATTATAATAGTTCTTGTGAACATCTTTAGATTTTTTATACGTGACATCATTTTCTACAGTTCATACTACAAGATCTTCATGTGACTTCATATCTTCTAATGAATTCTCTACTGGTCATAATACCTGTTCTATATCCTCCTATTGAAAACTCATCCGTAACAATCTAGAAATAGAAATCTATATAACATTTCTCCAATTACAATAATATGGTTAAAACAAATTCTACAATACATTCATAGTAATAGCCAAGCTTTTCTGGATTACTGCTATTAGTGAAGAGATCACACCAGATAAAGGATGCTATATTATGACAGATGGATTCATCAACAAATGTATCAATTACTATCTATCTCTCAGCCTTTTGATCTATCTCGTTCGCTAGCTTCTGGTATAATATATATAGATTTTACACATTATTTATATTATTATATGTTATGTATACATAATTACATGCTTTTGTTTAAGATTCTTCTTTCGTCTACTTAGCATCTTCTAAGACACACACTTTGTGCAATTTCCTAATTGATATTTGCATTTCTTTAATTCTTCCATCATTAGTACAAATCTGAACAACTTTCCAATATCTTCATACTTTCTAATTTACTTTCAATTGCATATTTATTCTTTAATTCCAATTTATAATGAACTGATATATCAAACATGTATCTAGTAATTTTCTTCTTTCTGATAATATATGTTACATTTACTGCAAAAGGCTGATGCTTTTTGGTTGGTTGTATTATTATAATAATCTTCACTAAATGTTTTAAACTTTTCTTGAGGTATGTTATTTGCTTTTGAAGATTACATCTTTTAGGATGAATAATTCACATACACCTAAAGATGATTTAAGGTATCTTAAGTGACTATTAATCGATTTACCTTTTTTCTTTTGTAGTTGAATAGTTGTTGAAGTTATGCATTGAATTTATTATTCTAATTTATGCTAAAGTTTTAACTAATTAGAAGTTAAATGAATTATTGGTTAATTATTACGTAAAGTGAAAAGAGAAATACTGTGACTGAAAATTTTCACATTGCATAGACTTATATTATCCTTTCGCTTTGCTCAGGATAAATAATACTAGGTAAATAATTTAAATTCACGTAATAAAGTAATTCTAAGTTTAAACAAAGAGCGGGAAACAGACAGACATCTTGTGTTATCACATCTACCTACGCTATGCTTCAAACTAATTAGATATATACGTTAAGAATTATATATTGATTGTACCTGTACTTTAGGTGTATAGAGTGCTGACTATATGGAGATCTGACTGATTGTAGTAAGATATTTTAAAAATCAAAGTTCAATTTTATTAACGTAGAATCACTTTAGTAAATCGATTTAGAAAGTTTTAGCAATTGTCAAACTTTTTTCACTTTTTAAAAGAAATGTCAGAACTGTTAGAATAGTCAGAAGTATGATCATCACTTAACTTGCAACAAATCCTATGTAAAGAAAGAAAACGTTTTTTTATCATATAAAAAGAAATACATGAAATGAATTATTAAATTTAATAAAACCAATATGTAATTAGTTATATAATTGTAAAGGGATTTTTTTTCCCATAAGATTTCTCATTTTTGTTCTTCTGCTCTTTTTCTTTTCTCCTATTCCTTTTCCTTTCCTATTCCTTTTCTCCTCCTTAGTTCTCCTATTATGCAAACACAACACAGTTTTTCACAAGCATATTCTGATTTTGTGTCCCTTCTCACATATGAATAAAACCTTAAATTTTATTTTCTATGTATATAAACTTTTTCATCAAAATTTTTTGAAAAAACAGCTGTAAAAGGTTTACTAGTTCTGAAGAAGGGATCAGTTATGTACCTTCCTTTTACGGTCTCAAATAAAAACTGGTTATCAAACTTCCAGAAGAGATAACTAGGAATCAAACGCCTCAGAGGAGAGAACTAGAAATAACAAACTGTCAAGAAGGAAAACTTGGAACATGAAAGAGGGAATAAAAAAAAATTAAATAGAAACCCAAAGGCTCTTTCTCTCTATGTATTGTTGGAACTGTAGTTTTTGATAGATTGGGAACTTTGCTTGGTATTATACTAGTAGCGAACATGTAACTATATTTTTTTTAATCATTGTGGTTCACGTTTCTTGTTAGTCTGAAGCGAAGGACTATATAGGACTAGACAATGTGACATAAAAGTGTCACGTTCACAGCTTGAGTCGATGCTAATTAGTTTTTGCAATATTTTTCCACGTTCCCTAGTTTTTATTTTAAAAATCTACAAAAAATAAATAATCTTAACTTTTAATGAGATGAATTTTTATTCTAATCCATGAATATAATGTTTATAAAGTGAAAGTTACACGTCTGAAGCATAGGTAAAGTCTAAATTTGGTTGTTATTATTACACAATTATTTATATGCATTTTACAATAAAGTTCAATTAAAAAATGATCGACCTTTATAAATTTTTTTTTTTTACAAAATAATCAGTGACGAAACTTCACATATATACTCTTTCGAAGCTAACTTTTCGTATGGATTCCTTGGATCCAAATGGATCCAAATGCCCAGCAAGTTACATAAGGAGTATATTTTATATATTTTACGATAATGATTTATTAGTTGGGAATTTAATGGATATATTATATTACCAAGTGCTAACTTGTTCAGGTTTTTATTGATTGGAATCTAGATATATTACCAAGTGCCAATTTGGTTAAGTGCATTTATAAAAGTTACATGTACTTGTTGACTTTTATTTGTTTCTATCTCTTCCGCCTTTTCATCATTTTCATTAGCGATATCTTCAACATTTTCACCTTCTTTTTCTTCAGTGGTAAGTATATTTGGACCTTTTTCCAATCGTTTTAAAAAGGAATTTACATTATTATATATTTCGCGTTTATAATATTCTTCACAATAATAACAACTATACTTTAATTTTTGATAGTATTCAAAATGGTATCCATGCCCACAAACTAAAACTTCACCATCATCAAGTTTTTTTTTACAGTGATCGCAAACATTTGGCAATGGAGATACACTAGTACTATATCCAGCTGGAAGACATTTTGAATCAACAATTTCTCCTAAGGTAGCTAATTTATATCGATTTTTCTTTTCAATTTTGCTTTTTCCACAATTTTTAAAGATCTCATGAAAATAATCTAATAAAAATAGAGCTGTTTTTTCTGACAACAAATCCAATGTCAATGGCTTATAAGGGTATTCATATTTTTTTTCAAAAACATCTTTAATTTGACAGTTATATCGCGCATCTAATCAATTATAATTATAATATTATCAAT